CAGATAAAAAAAAGTTACAAATATTCATTGTTACTCTTTGTAGGCCCATTAAAGTGAAGTGAACTTTTTAAGGTCACAATAATTTGAAAACTTAACTACAGCAATTGATAGAAAAGGGACGAGCTACATTTTCTTTTGGCGAAAAAGTAATTTTGAAAACTTTTTTCTTTACCTGGGATGAAAACGCGACTTCAAACAAGTCAAAGTTGGCATATTCCTTAGGTGAAACATAATTCACATTTAATAAGCCATGTTATGCGTTTCAAATGTATACTAAAAAAACTAGCTTTTAACACCCAAATAGCTGCCAGGTCACTGTCAGTTTATTGTCCGTTATGTGATTGTTGATAAAGGCTCAAGAAAAGGCATTTAACATACCACAAAATGTTGAAAAAACGCAGTTAACAGTCATTGTTTACTGTAAGTTTTTTGACTGTTATAATGGCAAAAACAGGCATTTAACTGTGCATCCTAATATGTAAAGTAACTGTCACAATTAAATGACTATTAACAGGCCATTCGTCAATTGCAAAATATACAAGAAAAAACTGATATTTAAAACGGCTGCTTCATTCACCCTTTTATTTTGCAATCATGACTGATGTATGTATATATATCACTGAAATTTGGAAATTTTTCTCTTCCCTGATTGTGCGAGTCATCGAAACTTGTCTCGTGGAAGTGGTCGCTGGTTCTGAATCTAAGGAACCAAAAATGTCAAAAATTGGGAAATCACTATGTTTGCGGTACTAATCAAAAAAATTAATCAAACAGAACGTTCGATAATTGACCGTTAACAGCTAGTAATGGTGCAAAAACGACCATGATGCTATTAAATGCCTATTTTCGGACAGTTTTCAGCCTGCTAAAAAATATCATTTTAAGCCATTAAAACGGTCCCATTTATAAGATGCAAAAATGACCATTTAATGACTATTTCATTAACTATTACCTGGCATCTAATAGACAATTAATTACATCGTTTTCGACGTCCTGAGTCTTCAGTTTCACTGTTCCATCTCACGAATGAGTGGGTAAAAAAACTCTGATTTGCAACAGCATCAATCATGTTAGATTTTCGACTAAAAGATGGGTTAAGTTCTTCTATTTAACTTCCAGACTATGTTTATCTTACTTAGTTTGTGACGCTGTCTCGAATGGCTTAATCAAAGTCTTTTATCCACTCATTCCTGAGACTGAGTACACTGCCACGGAAACGGCAAATGTGTTCAAATAGCATGGAAAAAGCGTATAATTAGAAGTCTGATCTTCCATCTATAATATGGGAGAAGCGGTACACTTTTTCCGTACTTTTGGCTGGTTCGGGTAGCAAAAAAACGCTTTCAGCGTGCTTTTTGTTTGTGAGTCGTTTTATCAATCTACAAAAACAAATCTTTGACGCAGTTTTATCTGAATCGAGACCGTTGACAAAATGTGCGTTTGCAGTAGTCTATTTTTGTTCAGTTTAATAACGTTTTCGATTCTTCTTCAGTTAAATGAATAAAAAATGTATCAAATAGTATTCTACGGGCACACTTTAAGACCAACGGCACATTTTAAGACCAACGGCACACTTAAAGTGTAACATCAGTACACTAAAAGCGTGTTACTAGTAAAAAGTGTTGACACTAAAATTGGCACAAGTGCACTTTGATTGGTGCAGTTCAATTACCCTTAGCCATAAGTTTAGACAATTACCGGAGAAAAAACGTTGAATTTCCTGTTATTGCGGGATTCTGGCAAAGATGAGTTCGGATGGACGGAGTAGAACGCATATAGAGTTAATAGCTAATATAGTTTTTATTGGCCACTTATATTCTAAATGGTCTAATAAATAGGAACTGACTCAGTTTGCTTAAATAGTCTGAAACGCACGTATGTGCACGTAAAACTAAATGAATCAAGTTCATAATACATAAATATAACGCGACTCGCATGTGATAAAATATGCTTGATTTCGCCGAATTTCGGATCTGGAGATATACATATCAGAGACTGATGCGTACCCCTACTTGTAGTTGGGATTTCTTTTTGAAATATTCGATAATGTTAATGAAATTCCTAATACGTTTCCTAAAAAATATAGGATTTCTTTCAAAACTTCATGGTATCAAAGAAAAATAAGTGTTAGCAACAATTGTTCAAATCTCACAAAACTCTTTATTGCTGACAAATAAAATGTGACTTTGTTTTTTTAAAATATCTCTTATACTCGACTATTGATCGAATGAAATTTTTTGTACTCGTACTCATACTTGTGCCTTGCTAAAATACTGGATATTTGCACTCGAAAAACTGTGTGCTCACCCATTTCCGATGCATATTGCATATTATTGATTGGCTTGTAGCACGCTTTTAGTGTACTGTTTTTATATTGTAAGCGCGTTTCTAGTACGCTTTAAAAATTGTCAGAGTAAACTGTGCTTTTATCACACACACCGCGTGCCACGAACGGTAGGGTAAAAGTATTCCAACAGCACATCCTTCTCGATGGCACGGTCAAAGTGTGCCAATGACATGGTTAAAGCGTGCCAGTTAATCTTTTACCGTCCCATCGGCACATTTGATTCATGTCGTCACCATCCTTTTACCGTGCTTTTCTGGGAGAGTGCAGTCAAACTGAAGAGTAGAAAAATGTTTCTGAAAAAACAAAAGAATTTTCAAGAATTATTTTTTTTATTGAAATATAGCTCGCGCTCTCTTCTATCGATTGATGTAGTTTTCATATTTTTGCAGTACTTATACAACGTAGAAACAAGTTTTTATCAACCGTACGAAAAGTTTCACCTTAAAAAGTTCACTTTTCAGCCTAATGGGCCTAGAAAGAGTAACAATGAATATTTCTAACTTTTTTTATCCGTAACTATAGTAGAGAGAGAGCGGAGAATGTTTTTGTACAAACCGATGTACGGAAAATGTTTGCCGCCACTGTTTATGTGTGTGTAGATCGTTTGGAAAACATTTATCACCTAAGCGTTTTTATGTTTATTATAATGTGTATGTGAGAAAATTAGATAAGCAGCTGTCTGAGAACAAAAACTTTTTTCGCATTTTTCATCTTGTACATACACTCCTTGTTTTCAAAGGAAACACTAAGCGAATAGACATACACTAGTACCATACACAACAAAACAACAACCTGTTCTTTAGTTTTAATATCAAGTTTTTCTATTCTATTAATTGCAGACATACATATTTCATTCATCGAGTGAATGGATGTATGAACTGCACAAGCATTTTTTCTCTTTTCGTTCTTAACATTTCGTCATCGACATGCCCCTATTATATTGTCATTGTTCACAGAGAGAGAAGAGAGAGATAATACGACCAAACAAAAACAGTAGCGCCGATTGAACTTTCCATATCAGACGAATCCAAGATCTAGTTCGAATTTGAGAGCTATAATATATATACACACTAGGGGTATTCGTTCATTCGTTCACGTAGTTTAGGTGTTATTATTATCTCTTTTTACAACAAGGTATGAAAATATTATATGCGTGCTCTTTTCTTACGCTCGAGCATGTCGTGAGACTTCTCGACATTTATTTAAAAAAATCTACGCCTTATGCATTTCATTTTCCAGATGAACAACACATTTTGTGTTTTTCTCAATATACGTATAAGACTTCACCGTGTACGTAAAGTACTCTACTAAAGTAAATGTTATATGCTCTGTACTTAGTTCAATTGCAGCCGATCTGGTCCACTGACTGTGCGGATGAACACATTTTGTTACGAGAAAAAAGTGAAACTTTCAACATCTGTCAGACTATTTTCCATTACTCATGTGATTTCGCAGTTCCTAATTCATTTCTGACTTTCAGCTTCAATCAGAACACATTTCATATAACTTATCTGCATATTACCAGCTGAAAAACACAGTTCATGCAGAGTCGCAAAAAAGATCCCTTTCATCTTCGGCACACTCAACAATCCCGAAGATTTATTTTTGGCGTCATACAGTGGCGGGCCGACGTTATGGCAAGGTGTGGCAATTGCCACACCAAAAAATTGGTGCGACCACATGAGTGTGTTCTTAGTTTTAAAAGCGGTTTTTTTTTTGTTCACTATTAATACTTTTCGAAATTTATTGCTACACCAAGCAAACAGACTCTGGCCTGCCACTGAAGTCATATTGTCGAAAGTTTAAGAAAATTTTACAAATAAGATCAAGAAAATTTTTTCTTGAACTTTTGGCAATACGTCTTCCAAAAATAGTAAATCTTCAGAGTTATCGAGTGTGCTGAATATGAAAAAGCACTTTGCATGAACTTTATTTTTTTCTTTACATTGATATGATTTTTGTAGAAAATTTCGAAACTTCTGAGCAATGAACAAAAGGCGTTTATTATATAAGTTTCAAATTCAAACTCTTCGAACTAAACACCAAACAAGATGATTCAGCGCTGTTGTTAAACCTGAGCTATGAAAAAAGTGATTACTAAAGATGTTGTTCCGAGCTATAATAATATTATGAGCTTTCCATCTAATATTTAAGTGTTTAAAAATGTCGATTAATGCTAGACATTTATATTATTAAAAGACTTTCGGAAAGATATTTCTTTTCTGCATTTTTTCTCGATAATTACAGTTAGAAAAGGTGTGTCTGTTTCGGTGTGTTTCTCTCAGCTGATCGGACAACAACAAATAAATGCGTCTGTTTATATTGTATAGACTAAACACATATAATTGGTTGCATTTTTTGTGTGCAAAGCTGTTGTATGCACCAGAAACGTGCATTTATTGTTTTAGAATCAAAGTGTTGTAGATCTACTACGTATATAGTCAAATGAGACACATCGGTCTACTTTTTTTGTTTTCGACGACTATATTTTTCGATTTGAATCATTTCTGTTCGTTTTTCTAGTATAGTTAACATCTCTTCCAGTCAACGAGTATACAACAACGACGGCGAAGTTCGAAATTTTAATCTAATTTTAGAAATAATTTTAATTCTTTTTTTGTAAATATACTAAATAATTTATTTGCTTCGGAAAATGGATGTCAATTGTTGTCCACGTAATGATTTTTCGTTTCCAATGAAAAATTCGACAAAAGAAGTGACATCAACGTGGCCAACCGCATTTAATGGAGCAACATTCATTTCTATCGAACAAAGTAAGTTTGGAGTAAAGAAAGAAATTTATTGCAATATCGACGGTTACATTATATTGGAGACTACATAAGTCCATAAGAAACTCTGCTTAACTCTTAATTTAAGCAGAAGACTACCATGATCTTCTATTTTCGTGAGCAGGTCGATTGAAAGGTATCTCAGGAAAAAATCGTCAGTGGTCTTCTGTTATAGAGGGAGGCGGTCAGTAGCGTATGAAGAAGGATTCACAACCCAGAAAACAACTAGTTGAAGACTTTCAAAAAAAAATTCAAAAAGTAGTTGCGAGAATTTTACATGTGTTTATCACTTAGTATTACTGAAAGTAGCTTACTTTCGGGTATCATTACTTCAGTATAAATACCTTATTTTAGTCGAATTAATGTCTTGAAAAGTAAAAAAACCTTTGACTGTTTTGAAAGAAGTAAAGAGTATCAATAAAAGCATTTGGTTTTCTCGTTTAGATGAATCAGATCAATCAAAGTCATTGCCAATATTCAATGATTTTGTTCTTCGTAATACTTCGAATATAATTGATTTTTCTTCACAACAATTGCCACCACCTCAAATATTCAACCAGAATCATCTGTCATCATTTCCATTGAGTGATTTCAATCACTGTTCAACATTGTTACAGCCGTTATCAGCCTTAAACATTGATTCGATAACCTCAACATTTCCTCAAAATAATGAAAATATTCTTCATTGGATTGGTGATCCATTTTTGAATGGTGAACAACAGCAACAAGTACATTCACAAATTACACCACCGTTGACATCAACAACACAAGCTCAAACTCAAACATCATTAGCTAACACATTTAATTTTGATTCAGGTATGGAGTTTTATCGAATGTGTTGAAATTTTTTATTTCGTTAAAATGAATATTTTTCTTTAGGTACAGAAAATATTCGTCATTGGATTGGTGATTTTACAAATGAAACAACATTAACATCAAACACGGTTGATAGTGGTACTTCAGGAATAAATCAAATTCCATTATTATCACAAAAAGTATTTATTGGTGGTGTACCACGATTTGCTACAGAAATTGATATACATGCAAATTTTGAACGTTTTGGAACATTCGAAATACAGTGGCCAAAATTGCATGGAAATAAAGAACAACATCGTGAAAATGGTTTTTTTCATATTGTATTTCATAATGCCAAATCTGTTTGTACACTATTGGACAATTGTTCACGTCATCAAAATAATACGTCGGTAGCTGATTATTTTATACATTTCGAAACGGCAACAGGTTCGAGAAAAACTGTCGAAGTTATACCATGGAATATTGGAGATAATAATTATGCACTAAGGTATGTGTTCATTATTTAATTAGTTCTATCAATAGTTAGAAGGTATATAGTACAAAACGATTAAAAATGTACAATGTCATTTTAAAATGTGAGTTAAATTTGTATGTTTAGTCGCCGTATTCAAAGAGAAAATCAAGTTTTGAGTTGTAGTTCTTCAACGACCAGATAGTTTTTATCTTAGAACTCAACTTGATGTGTTTTTTCTAGACCACCTCAACAACTTGATTCAAAGAAGACAATATTTGTTGGTAATTTACATGGCACAATGACTGCACGATCATTATGGCGTCTAATGGAAGATTTATTTGGTGGAGCTGTTTATGCTGGTGTTGATATTGACAAGTATAAGTATCCGATTGGAAGTGGACGAGTTACATTTGATAATAGTTCGTCGTTTTTGCATGCGGTTTCAACTGCATTTGGTATGTGTTAATATAACGATTTGAATAGATTGTTTTACAAAAGACTAAATAGGGAGAGAACGAAAAATATTTCTTAAAACTTTTTTTCATAAAAGGCAAAATTACTAATGATTGAAGAATTTCTTTTAGTTAAAAAGTTGGTAGTAATTGCACCATTTTGAATATCTCAATCATTAACCAAAAATGACGTAATAATTTCTTGGTTTTTCTAGTCGATGTTCGTACGCCACGTTTTTTAAAACGTTTACAAATTGAACCTCATTTACAATATCGTTTTTGTTCATTATGTAAAACGGCTGCTGGTGATTTATTTTGTCGTAATTTTGCTTGTTTCGATTATTTTTGTTTAAAATGTTGGCAAAAAATTCATTCACAATCAATTGTTATGGCTAGTCATAAAGCTGTTACAAGACATTCAAAATCATCACAACCAATCTTTCATCCTATGCAAGCAATGTTAAATCAAACAATTAGTTAAAGTTGTTGTTCGTAACACATATACTTGTTTGAATATTTTTCGTTTCTTAATATTGAGAAAGAAACTGTGAAAAACTTTTTGCTGTTAAATCTTAGGGTTATTGCACTAGCTGTGAGTAGGGTGTATGTGTGTATTTAGCCATACACTTCTGTATGTCTGTGTTGTTATTGTTGCTGTTTGAAACATTTTATTTTTTTATTCATCTCAAAAACCTTTCGTAATTTTCAGATACTTTATATACAACACTCTTAGTTAATTTTTTTTTTTGTTTCTTCAAGCCTTGTACTTTCATTTGTGTGTGATTTGTATTTGCTGGGCAAATTAAACGAACCAACATGTACATATATATTGAACTAAGACAAAAAAAAAAAAATTGATATTATTTTTTATTCATTCTTAAATTTTCTTTTTTTTTTGTTGATTTCTCTTTTTTATTGTTGTCTGTCTCTATTTTCTTACAAGCTGCGTGTTCTCTTATGAAATGAGATGTTTTTTATTTTTTGGTATGATATATATATATATATTTTTCTTTTTTTGGCAGCATATATCTGAAACAGAATGTAGTATTAGATGTGCAGAAACTTTAGTGCTGAACTTATTTTCAGCTAAAATAAAAGTTTTTTGTTATGTTTATAATATCATTTGATGGCTCGTGATTTGACAAAAGATACATAAAGGAAAATAGTACTTTTAAAAATAAATGAAAAAAATGTCATCAGACACTAGCAGTCCAGCAAGGTGAGAATATTTTCTTACGAATAGTCTAATCGAGTAAGCTATTATTTTCACAATGAGCCGAGTAATGTGAGTCGTTGAAAACTAGAGTTTTCCAGAAAACCGATAGAAACATTTGAGAAAGTTCGGAGCAAAAAATGCATCGATTGTTTTTTCGATATTCTATCTGTGGTATAAATTTGGGACCAATCAGATTTTCCCTTCGCGTTTGCCAACAAGGTCAAGAAAGAGAGAGGGGGTACCCTTAAACTATGTGTATATCTACGGATTGATTAGAATAAAATTTGTTTCAAAATAGCACAAAATTATGCAGCTTTGAAATAAATTTCATTCGTAACACCGAGTGGGCCAGAATAAATGAGAGTCTCAGTATTTTGCTTATAACTTGGTTTGGATTTGTTTCCGAGACTTGATGTTTTCTTTAAAAGATGCGCTGCAAAATACTGTACAAAATCATACCTAAACTATAATTTCAGCACTTCAATCAAGAAAACTAAGCCAATTAGATGAAACTCGAAAAAAATGAAAACTTTTCAAACTCAAAAATAATTTCTTGTGTTAACATTTTGAAGGTAAGAAAAACTGAATCAGCCATTTTGTAACCTGACTTCGCTCTATCTTTTAGCTATACTTCAAATTTTTCACATCAAAAGCCACGACGAAATAATAGTTTTTCTGTCGTTTGTCATGTATTTTTTCATTAATGTTTTAAATTTTAGGTTAGTAGTGCTTTCAGTAAAAGTCCCATAACTCCATCAGAATAAAAGCTTTTTCGGTCGAGTCTGTTTTGTTTTGATCAGAAATAATTGCTCTTCTCTATCTAAATGCAAAACCAAAACTTCAATCATGTTTTCCGTGTCTTGTTTGAGCACATTGTTGGATACGGGGAAGTTGCCAACTTTTGACGTATTTTTGTAACTTCGTTCTCCAGCACACCATCTGCTCTAAAGAATTTTTTTACAGACCACGAGAAATAGCACATTTGAAAGTACCAAACATAAACTGAGTTCTCACTTTGTTACACTTTTTGGCGGAGATAGTACCGGTAGAAAAAGTTCAAGTCGAAAATTTTGAGTTTGGAAAGTTTTCATTTTTTTCGAGTTTCATCTAATTGGCTTAGTTTTCTTGATTGAAGTGCTGAAATTATAGTTTAGGTATGATTTTGTAGAGTATTTCGCAGCGCATCTTTTTAAAACAAACATCAAGTCTCGGAAATAAATCCAAACCAAGTTATAAGCAAAATATTGAGACCCTCATTTATTTTGGCCCACCCGGTATACCATAAGCGAAACAAACACTACATAAAGTTGTATGAAATAAAATATTTCTCGATGAAGAATTTAGTAGTAAACTCTGAACTGAGCTATATCTGAACTGTGTATTACAAGAATGTTTCCTTCATGGATTTAGCATTTGTTTAAAAACGAATTTTCTGTCTGAGGTGGTTAGACACACTATGCGTAGACAAACATTCACCATACCTTTTTTCAAGGAAACTAAACTTGGACTTCAAATTACTTGTAATAGTTTTCCTATCCTCTAGAGAATGAAGTTGGCGTTCATTGCTTCAAAATCTAGACGTGTCGCAGCGTTCTTTTACTTGTGGAAAAGAAGATTAACTCAATGCTGAAAGGCGACACATTAGAACTGCCACTAATAAAAAGCACCATCGAGTGAGCGACTAACATGCGATTAACATTGTTTTCTCTTACATGACCATTCCAGTAGTAAGATCTTGGTTCAAGATTTTTTACCTGGGCCACTTGTGGGACGATGATTGAAAATTGGCGCCGATTTTCTACAAAGGAGAAGATGTTTGAAATATGCTTTTCCAGTGAAGTTGCAAGCAATTTCCTAGGAATTCACAAATGTAACCGTTAAACTGGAATATCGGTGTCGGTTTTTGCATAATCTGCTTTCATTTTTCAGTAAATCGCCATTAATTTTACAGAAAATCATTTCCTTGAAAATCATATTTTTATATTTTCCAGAAAATAGCCAATCGTCGACGATTGCATTCCTAGAAAATCGTCGGGTTTTTTTACAATATATTTTCTAGTTTACAGTCTAGAAGGATGAAGTATGTTATCACTAAAAAAACCATCCTTCGAAGCTTCTCACTTAATCCGCACACCTAAACAGTAGAACAAACTCTCTAGTCATGTTATTTCTATCTAACGTTGACCCTTTTCTCAATTTCTTACCGCTCTCAATAACTGTGTTTGTATTCAAAAAATAAAAAATTCAATTTTTTGTAATAGGTTTTTGTTGTCTCCAAACTCGGTTTTTGTTATCTGGTTCTCGGTTCTCAGCTCAGAACTGGAAAATAATTTTTCAAGCAGTAGCAATTCAACGAAACAGAATTCATTTTATAGTAAACGAAAGGATTCTTTCAAACGATGATAGGCAAATATATCTTTTTGTAGCCTTGTCAATAGTGTGTTTTCAACTTGTTAAAAGAAAGACAAATCAATTAGTCTGGGTTCCGAAAAACTGGAATCATCTAAGAAACCGAGGTTCCGGTTCCCGATGAAGAGCCGGAAGTAAGAACCGAGTGCCGGTTCCTCATGCGGAACCGAACCGCGATTCTGATTCTGCACAAAAACCGAGAACCGAACATCCCTAATCGTAGTGTGAACATGGCCTAAGGCTTTTTGTAAGTATCTTCAATTTATCATGCGACCATTTATATAGCGAGAGTGAATATACCACACCATCACCATTGGATAACTGAGAAAGTCAGCTACATTTTGATGAAAACGTTTTTCAATGTGGGGGGAAATAAAGTTTCTAAATTTACGAAATTTCTTAGAATTTAGTCTCCGGCGACATCATCAATGAAGGGGAGTATCATCAAAGAATTTAAGTTAAGAAACTTCACTTAAGTGTAACTTGAGTCATAAAAATGATTTAAGCTGAACTTAAGTCACACTTAAGTCAAATCTTAGCCGAAGTTTTTTGATGAAACTGGCTCCTAGAATAATTCACTCAAAAAAATTAGCCCGATCTTATCAGAGATGAGTCGATTGAGTAAATAGTTCAATGGACTTTGCAAATCTTCTATTCGACAGTCGAGTGTCTTATATAGCAATATCATAAACATGACTTTTGTTGATAGCTTTCAAGCGAAACTGTTTGTATGTCCCTAACAGAGTTCCCAGATCCTCAGGTCATAAATGCGGAATAAAAATCCCAAAATTCGAAAACTTGCGGAAAATTTTTCTCACAATGCGGACAAAAAGCGGAAACGCATTTTCATGGTCTAACTTCATCCGTTTTCACGCACAATCACAGAGTTGCCAGCTGGAGTGCCATAATCGACGCGGTTTTCCGCCGTATTGGCATTGATTGTGACGCTTGAGCTGGCAACTCTGCCGACACAGAGTCAAAAAAATGTTTTCTCTAGCACTTTGTGGTTTTATTCAATAAAACACAAGAGAAAAACAAACAGAAATGTAAGTCCCGATTTTAGTTGACACGTTTGTTGACTGTATATTTTTGATTAGAATGAATAAGTTTAAGCAGATCTGGCGTTGATAAGAAATAATTATAAATTTCAGTGCATGATAACGATGAGTTTAAGCGAATTTTTAACTCAGCTGCAGTCATTTCTGTCGACATACGATTTCTTTTATCGTTAAATAAATGTTTCATGGAAGAAAATGCACTTTCGACGTATGAATTACTGCGCGGAATCGAAAATATAAACGAAACTAATTTGTGCACGTTTGGAGATGGTGTTAGTTTGACAATAGGATGAGAAAGAGAATCCTCAATAGATAGACATTCTTTTTTTAAATGTTATATGTAAACAGGGGAAAAACAGCAAAAGCAGACAATTCTCAAAATGCGGACAAATAGCGGAAAAAACTTCAAAATGCGGAGTTTGTCCACAAAATGCGGACAATCTGGGAAGTCTGGTCCCTAAGCTTCTACGAGCAAAGAGTGTTAAAGTCACTGTGTGTATAAAACTTCCTGAAAACTAACCATTATTGCGAGTATTTTGAGTCTAGTTCAGTTCGAGTTCATCATTTCCAAAATTGTGAAACTTTTTGTGATACATTATGAAACTGTTTCGATAAACCATGTTCCTTATACAGAGGGTGATGAATGAAATCCTTTACTAGCTGATAAGTCTATACAAGTTGATAATAAAACAGAAGGCGAGATCAAGGCATATTCTATAAACTCAGCAACGTCATGTTGAATGTCGCAGTATGCAAACTTTGCTTGAATTTATGGTATTCAAAAGCTTTGAAGAGGCGTAAAGAAGCAATACGTTCATCATGTCAATTACGAGAGATTTTGCAAAAATTAAGGGTCTCAACGTTTCGAACAAAATCCAACTAATTTGGTGTAATGGAAGATGATCGAGTTTATATTATGAAACCATATATACAAGAAGATTCTAGGTGACAACTAGTGTATACGAAGAGCTTTTGTCGTTCGAAAAATAACAAAATTGTTCACGACTATTAGTTGACAAATCTGTCTTTGAGCTATAAATAATGAAAAATGACAAATTCTAAGCATCTACGGTAACATCTGCTTTATAGGTTGATATGTCATTAATTAATGCACACAGCCAAACACCGACTGAAATTATTAGTAATAGCGCTTGGCAAAATTGTCTGACTTTTAGTCTTATCTCCAAAGCATCTGCAACAATTTAATTTTCTTTAAGTTTTCCCATTTGATAACTATATTTACTCATATAAACTGAACAGTCATTTTAATCAATATGTTATTGTGAATGTCATATAGTATGAAAGCGTCTATAAAAAATTTATTTTCAAATTCCTGGCAGAGATGTCGCTCTTGATAAGTGATCATTTTTACATCTTTAACTTCATCTTCTCTATAAGTTCGATGCCAAAATGTACATCATAGCTACTTATTCACAGTTTAAGTACAAACATCTTCATACGTGAATTCAAAGTTGAACTCATTAGCTTCATTGAATGTCGCACAGAGTGCTCTCTACGTTTTGTATAAACCTTTTACTACGTAATCTTTAACATGTATACTCCAAAATATTAATCTCTTTTATAACCTTATTCGAGGCCAAATCTAACAAAGTTGACGACCACATTGTATTTGTGTTGTGGCCCTCGTACGTAAAAGATGGTAGCTCATTTTTTTTTGTGACGTGACTATTTATTTCGCTGTATTTTTATTTAATTCATACGATACTCTGTAAACTACGATGATTAAATAATTAGTTGATTCACTCTTCTGTTGTGTACAAATTACTTGTATATAGTTATAAATATATTATCTATATTTTGTGTTTGTAAATTGTCAATGTAAGTTGACCAAACGGTCGTCCAACATTTTGACCTTGAACTCTTTCATAGTAGCCTCTAATTTATTTAGATCACAATGTTACATGATACTGTTTGGTCTTCTCAAAATACTGATTATTCAACTAATGGTCAGTACTATTCATCTACAAGACTCTGAGAGAAATCTATAGTTTATTGTTTTATTGGTGTCGATTTTAGAACGATCGGCTCACTCCGTATCTCAGCCGATAGCCATGCCTGGCCGAGTACAAAACGATATATCTTATCAAGATAATAATAGTGCCGTATTTTCACCCAAATCAACAGATCCAGCTAATCTTGGCTTTAATATGTGTATCAATATACTGGAAGATAGTTCGCCAAGAGTAAAAGACATTGAAACTCGAATGAAAAATATGAAAGTTGCTTATGTACGTATAAACGAAGTGAATTCCCTCGGCAATGGAAAGGCGTTGCTATATTTTCTTATGTGAGAATATAGTGTCTGAGCATTTGCCAATATTATCCTCACTATAGTTGATTTCATGTGTGTGAATGTCTTTTGACAATCACTGTTATCAACTGTAGTACAAAAAACTATGGATTTAGTCCAGTTTTTCTATCTCACTGATGTGAACGTGCTTGGTTTCAGAAGACTTTTTCTTCCGTTTTTTGCTTGGAATACATGATTCTTTTTTCTGCGCATATCTAAGAGTACTACTTGCCTATCATACTTTGTACCATCTCCCAGCCCTCATACGTTGCTTTCTAAAACAGAGAATTCTCTCACTGTACATTCGTTTTTGATTGTAGACAACTAGACAGTTAAGTCAATTCGTATTTGGTATATTTTAGAATGACAGTGACAATCAAAAACCGGATAGTCCAAGTGGTTTTCGCGATGATAAATCGGATGATACTGCAGCTGATAGTGCTCTAACAGACTCAAGTCGTAAACAATCACCTCGTTCATCTCCTGTTGATTCACACGGTGGTGATTGCAATAACGCCGGTGGGCAAAATGGTGAATCTATGTCTAATCAGATGATGAATGTGCAGATGACAGCAGCAATGCCAATTCACTATGTAAAACAACAACAAATGCATCAACATTTGCTTCAACAACAACAACAACAACAATTGCAATCTGAACATGCACAACATCCTGTAAATTTATTACACGCACAGCAGTACTTAGCCGAACAGCAACAACAACAACAACAACAGAATCAAGCCGCAGCACAACAACAATATCTTCAAGCTCACCTTCAACATATTTCTCAGCCAATGTATGCTGAGCAAACAAATCAATACGATCCAAGGACAACAAATTCACAACAAGGTTTTCAGCTAGGTAAAGTCGAAGAAAAGCTAAAACGTAATTAGTAGAAATCGTTAAATTATAACATGAATTTTTACCCATGAATGAGAGTCTCATAGTATGAACATACTTTCTTCATCTGATATTTATATGCTCTGCGCTAAACTATACTTTTGTTCGCTATTTTAGATTATACCTTGATTCAACCGCATTCGTACGAATCTCAATCTGTTATGAGTGCATTTAATCCATTACAACCACCCGCCACATCGTCGTCTGGCACAGGTCAAGATCCAAATATAAATTTAAACATTTATCCGTGGCAAGCACAAGCTGCTGCGCTTGCTGCTGTGCAACAACAGCAGACTCAACAGCAATCATACAATACATCAGCAAATCAGTACATTCTCAATGGAGGAGGACAAGATAATGGTTATTTACCAGCACTTGCTGCTGCGAATTTTCACCAGCAACAGATGTTACCACAATTTTGGGGTTTACCGTTGATGTACCCGACGAACATGGTACAACAACCATCAGCACAACAACCAGGACAAGCAGCTGGTAACCTGCAACAATCGCCACAAACGAAACAGCCAAATCGACCAATGACACCGTCAAATCAAAGTGACGGTATGTCGATTTTAAGTACATCACAACCAAATCAAGCAACACAATATATTAATGTGGCTAGAACAGGTCAAACATCAGGTAAATGTTTGTATTTTTTGAGAATAATTTCAGGAGTTCATAGAATTACCCCTAAGGTATTTTGTTGATTCTTGTTACTAGTATCAGTATCATTTATTTATTTTAGCTTTTCCGTTCTATACTGCTTCGCCAACGTATTTGGATCCAAACTTAATACTTCAAAGTCCAAGACAACAAGTTGGCTCGCCTGGTGTAAGAATATATTCTCAACAAGTGACCGTCCCAGGTGATTAGCGTTTTTTTGTGGAGCTTCAAACCATATAGCGTTTTTTTGCTGTCTCTTGAAGATGTCAATTATTTTTACTGCTTTTGTTTTTTCTAGGCAATAATACAACTGGCGTTTACGGAAGTCCAGTGCCAAATTCTCTTGCAAGTTCATTTAGTGGTACGTCAGTTCTATCTATATTTATTTTTAATGAAATATTTTGATTTTCGTTCAGAGGTTTTTACTGCAAATCAACGACGTGATGCCTCTGAGTTTTCTCGGCCCAAAACCCAAATGTATCATGGTGGAGTTGGTCTTGGTTTACCTCCGTCACCTGCGTTTACTGGCTTAATGACATCAATGACGCCACCACCGGCCACTAACGTTTACGAAGGTTTTTTTAATAATGGGAGCCGTTTTATGCAAGCGCCGCCACCACAGCAAGTCGGTCCACAACAACAACAACCACAGATGTTGAACGGTGATGCCTACGTTCCCGTGCAAGGTGGTCGACGTAATACGGGTGGAGAAATGAATGCACCGCTTCAAAATTATTACGCTGCTGGTGTATTTGGTACTGGAAGTCGTGGAAATGGAAACAACGGTCTTGGAGGACGAGAAGGATCTGCTGCACATTCAAAATTACTAGATGATTTTCGCAATAGTCGAATGCCAAATCTACAATTGCGAGATGTCATAGGTTATTTTGCAGAATTTTCGATGGATCAACATGGATCCAGGTAGATAGACTTTTCTCAGAAATTAACACAAAAATTTATCAATTGTCGTTGTTTCTTTAGATTTATTCAGCAGAAACTTGAACGCGCTACACCACAAGAAAAAGATTTGGTTTTTAAAGAGATATTGTCACAATCATATCAGTTAATGACAGATGTGTTTGGAAACTATGTCATTCAGGTGAGCGTTATCTGTAATAGTAATAAGTAGAAGTTTTTTTGATGAAAGATGGTTCATCAATGCTAGAAGAAACGTTGGTTTTACATGGTTTGTTAACAAATGTTCAATAGAGCCTTTTGTAATATTTATTTAGAAATTTTTTGAATTTGGATCAAATGAACATAAACAATATTTGGCGCAACGTATTCGCGGTAATGTGTTAACATTATCATTACAAATGTATGGTTGTCGTGTTATTCAAAAGGCCGTTGAGAGTTTGTCACAAGAATATCAAACAGATATTGCACATGAGCTGGAAGGAAATATTATTAAGTGTATCGAGGATCAAAATGGCAATCATGTTATACAAAAATGTATTGAATGTATTAACAGTGAAGATGTTGAGTTTATTATTAAAGATGTCACACGTCAAGTTTTTCAATTATCGGCGCATCCATACGGTTGTCGAGTCATTCAACGCATATTAGAAAACTGTAAAGAATCACAAACACGAGCCATTTTAGAAATATTACATGATCAGTTAGAATCACTTATTCAAGATCAATATGGTAAGATAAATAGTGTGATTGTGTTGTTCGTTTCTTTTTTCTGTATCATTGGTAGATTATAGTCAGGCTGGATTCTGCCTTTCTTCAGGTACAACTAGTATCACAAAAGATCCTAGCCCTGAACGTATCGCGTCAGGATATTTCTCTGATTAATGCGACGTCTCTTCTCCACAGCCAAAGTACCGTCTATATGTTTGTTTATGCTTTTGTTCTAGGTAATTATGTTATTCAACATGTGCTTGAACATGGCAAAACAGAAGACCGAAGTCGAATTGTTAATGCTTTAAGGGGTAAAGTGTTGGTATTAGCACAGCATAAATTTGCTAGGTAATATATACTCCGTCGTACAATGAATATTAACAGTTTGTGCTGTTAGCAGCAAAAAAATTGTTATATCGTTAATTTCCGTCTATTTTTTAGTAACGTGATTGAAAAATGCGTGACATATGCAACACGTCAAGAAAAATCGATGTTGATTGATGAAATTGTGTCGTACGGCGAAGGTGCATCATCAGCTCTATTGACAATGATGAAAGATCAATTTGCCAATTATGTAATACAGAAAATGATCGATGTTGCTGAACCGAATCAACGCAAATTACTGTTGCAAAAAGTGCGTCCACACATTCAGTCTTTAAGAAAATTTACTTACGGTAAACATATCATAACAAAGTTAGAAAAATATGTTAGTAAAAGTTCCGATCTCGGTGGACCGTTACTATCCGTTCAACAACAACAACAACATCAGCAACAAAGTTCAAACGGAAGTGGTGGATTACATTTTGAAAATTAGAAAACATTCTTTTGTATTCTTTTATATATCTTTATTATTTCGTTCTCGTTCTTTTATTTCCTCGTCTCCATCGTGACAGTGGTCTACTAATCATTCGTGTAAAAAAGCATGCGATTTGATCTTTTTTTGTTTGTTTTACGCTTTTCACACTCAGACAATCTGCTGCGGTCTCTTTTTTTGTTTTGGTTATGGGGTTATCTTAACATTTTATTTTGTTTCTTTTATGTGCATGAGACTTCTCTTCGTTTCTTTTCTTTCTTTCGGTTATATATTATTCTTATAAAAAAAAGCTATTCAGCTATACGTTTGATTTTTTGTTTTTGTTTCAGCCAAAAGCATAAAAAAACTATTTCTCTTGCTCAACACTTTTGTACATATGTACACACACGTGTTTATAATTTTTTTGTTTGTTTGTGCTCATATGTGTGTGGTTGTACACATGTCTTTGTAAAACATGTTTTCAAATTGTACTATCTATATTGTAAAGAAACAAACGAAATACTCATACGAAAAAATGAATGTTTTTGTAACACGGACACTGTATAAATTCTTCACGATAGATTTTCAAAACTAGATTCATGTTCTGTACATTTTTTTTTCCTCACTCATTTCTCCGTTTTATACGAGCGTGTGCATTTTTGTTAGAGTTTGTCCATCATATTATCTAGCTTCTCTCCGCTGTGAAATTTGTCCAGATCATAATCACAGCTCTCTAACTCCGTCATATGTAAAGTTTCCTCTTCTGCTTTAAACTTGTTCTTTTCTCAGGGAATGTGTTTGCGTTTTTTCATCGATCTATATATGTACATAAATACATTGTACATATGTTAACGGTATTTTTTGGATTTGTTTTTATATACATATAGATATCCGGTTATGTTTTGTATACACGCGTGAGAGAAAAATCAACACATCCTCCTGTCTTCATTTTCTTATCTTTGTACTCAAAAGTTAAGCCAGATGTGTTTGTTTAAGTTTTTTTGGACTTAAAGTAATGCTGCTCGCTTTTCTCTTCCTTCTTGAACACGTGTGTTTGTCTTCACTCTTCTGTATATCGATGATTGTGTCCCCATGTATTTCATAGCCTGATTTTTTTTATATACGTGTTCACTAAACTCTTTATTTTGTTGTTTCTTTTTTTGTTTGTTTGTTTGTTTGAAAAAATGAGAGAAAAGACAAAGTCATATTAACGGAAACAAAATAAAACCACACTAAATGAAAAAAGTAAAACAGATGGCTTTGAGAGATTTTTTGCAGTATCCAATCGTGAGTATTGGGCTAAGGGATATTCAACTTGCGAAATACGTAATAGTATTAATTAAAGTTCTAAATGGAATATTGTACGTCGTTAATCTAGAGTCAAAATTCAAACAACAGACGGTTTATGCGGATTCAAAAGTATACGAAAGTGTGCATAATTATTCGCATAGCTTTTATGACAATCATAGATATCTAGTAGAAATTTGTCCGATGTGTGGTATAATACTAGCATTTTTGGTGTTTGTCAACTAACTTTTTTTTTACTACATAATTTCAGTTGTTATTCTTGTTTTCTTTAGATAACCGAGCCAGCGCTCACAAATCAAATAATAATATTTAAAATGTTCACATTATTCATTGCTATTTTGAATTTTGTTTTGATTATATCAATAAACATCAAACGTTTCCCGCTTTTCTTTTCGTCACCAGTAAAATTGTATAGAAAACTTTCTACATATAGAAAATTATTCCTGAAATCATGAAAACTAGTTAAACATTTGTTAACGGTAGTGCTTTTTTACTGCGCGTTTATTATGTACCATCCGAAGACGACTTAAATGCCAACCATTACTTTTTGATCTTATCTGAAATATCCTTTCTATTGCTAGATTTCACGGTTTTTGTTGAAAATTCTATGGACAAACTGTGGTCTTTTTCTATTTCTCTTAATAAGTCGAAAAACTTTACGGACAGACCAGTTCATTTGTATTCGAATAATGAGCAGTTCACAATTTTTGTTTCTGCAAACGAATGTATATTGGGCATTTAGTTTTTCGTATGAAAATAGTTTTTGTATAAAAAAATCAGTTTGAAGACAAGCACATGGAAAGATAGCCTGATGTGTCTACTTTCAGAATCTGTATAGCTTTCGGGTCTAGAACTGATTTTGCATGGTTTTCGAGCAAGTTTTCTATAAGCCTTGAAAACCAGGTTCTGCAAATAATCATTTTTTTTCTGAACATGTAGATTTGTAGAGCAGCCGTTTTTGATCAAAATAAGACGTTGCACAATTCTGTATGATCGTGCATTCAAAAATTACAAACATTTTCCTACATGTTCTAAAACAGATCTTGTCTCATCCTCCCAGCTAGGTATCTGGATCAAAATAAAAGCAAGCCAAGATCTCTATCTTGAGCTGTATTAAGGAATAGGGATTTACAGTGAAGGGTGATTTTCCGCCTTGAACTCTAGAAAACTCCGAAACGGTAGCAGATAGAGAGTAAAAGAAAATATTGTGATCACATCTTTGAGTGTGCAACATTTGCTGAAAGTCTGATCAAGATCGAATGTAAGATAAAAAACGTTTTTTTCTAATGGGAGGGGAGCCCTTAAATGATTATAATGTGAAAAAGTATCTTTTAGTTTTGCAATTATTTTTCCTGTAAAATTTTTAAATAACATGCTAGATTCTCATAATAGATTGTCTCTTTTTTCTCTCTTGATCACACTTTTTTGTTATAGCAGAAATTTCTTATGTTTATTATATAAATGGAAAAATATGACATATTTATGTTAGAATAACAATTTCAAGTTTTATGTTCTCGCAAACTCTTGACCTTCCAATCTAATTACAAGTGCTTTGAGTGCTTTGAGAAATTATCTAGACGTAAAAGAAAACTTCTGTAATAAACAGGATTGTGATTATTCGATTTCAAAAAGTGATCAAAAATATATCTGAAAATGAGTTTTGCATTTTTTTGTTGTTCATATCTAAAGAGCAAATAGTTCTAATTTTGATTTTTAAAGACATTTTATTTGAGGTACAAGTGTAATTATGTATAAAATGATTTTCGTAATGATTGTTAACAAAGAATGCGACTACAAAACTAGATTTATTTTATAATGTTCTTTTTTGATTGATATTATAGATCTTTCTTGTCTTTAGTATATGACAGGCGATGTTCTGAACAAGACAAATGTAATTTATTACCCTGTAGACAGACTATGCTGAGGCGTAACATAAATGTTTGATAGTTGCACATTCACTTGTACCTGGCATTGTAGAATACAACGCTGTAAATTGATTTTATTCAACTGCCATTTTTTTAATTTATTGGAAAAATTTGATGCTGATTGAGATAAGGTAAAAACATGTATTTATAAAAGTTTAAAAAAAAAGCTTCCCACCTGCGATTTCTGATAGATTTGATTAATTTAAAATTCGTTCGTCGTCAGAAACTGATGAAATTCTATGAACATATCCTTGAACAACGTATAATATTTCATCATCTAAAATACTATGACGTTTGCTGTTACGTAGTATGATCTATTTTTATCATGCGTCAAATTGTGGTATTATTATTTTCTTCGATGTTACATTGTTATAACTAATAAAACAACGAGTTGAAAAAATGATTTGACGTCATGAAACAGAAAAGAAGAAGAATAATCTTGTTTATTACTCATAGAAAAGAAAAATTACTATATATTTGTGCGCATGTAACAAATAAACTATGGTAAGAAAACGTTAAAAATATTGTACGTTCTGTTTTTGTTCCGCTTTTTTATCTATAAATTATTTATATATAATAGAAAGATCAATCATTTTATACAACAAATTTTAAAATATCATTCTTCGAAAAAGAGAAAATAAGAAAATTTGACTACTAACTTCATATGTGAAAGTATTTGTGAAATTTGAAATAGTAAAATAAATATCCATCACTAAATTTAGATAATGAATTAAAAACTTACTGTATGTGTTATCAGGTTATTCTTTTATTAAAGTGTCCTCTGAACAAAATTAAATAGCATGAATACGAAAAATAATATTCTCTATTCGCCTCCGCTTTATGGTTCCATATAAATTTGGGAGTGCAGTTCAATGTATAGCATTTATTCTTAAAGTAATTTGAATTTACGTCATTTTTTTCCATATTAGTCAAAATACTAACCAAGATTAACACATACTAAAATATATGACGTCATATGACGTATATGACAATGAACGTGTTAACTAAGTGACGACAATGGAACGTGAGCTGTTAAGAAAAAGAAGAAATTAGTGGTCATTAAACAATTCTCTTACTTCATCTCTTTTTTTTGCTGAAAGAGTAAGTCAATACTGTTTAGTGCTTGTAAATATAAATCGTCAAATGAATTATTTGCTCTAAAGAAGAATATATAATTGCATAAAATTGTCGATGTCATAATTCTTACAGACGTAATAAATAATCCGAATATTTTGTCGTTTTAGATTGATCATCATAACTATAATTTATTTTTTCTTCTCATGGTTCATAACTAATGTATAATTCTTCTTCCCAACAATATGAATCTGCGCCTCCTCCGCCTTACCAAGCTGTTGACACAACACAAGTTACTTTAAATAATGTTGGCAGAGTTAATTCTCTTCAAACTCAACAGTATAATGCCAATTATTATACAACATCTGAGGATCGAATGCAACTATTTCAACAGTTAGTTGGAAGATATGAAATAAATCGAGAATTTGCAACAAAATTAAGAGGATTAGAAGGATATGAAATTGTATTTATTTGTGATGATAGTGGATCAATGAACACGCCTCTTGGTAAGCAATTTTTGTTATCCTTTGATAAGTGTTTTCTCACGCTCAACTTAAATATCGTGTACCCTAAACCAATTTATATTATGCCATTACTACTCAAAATATAAATGTCGTCATTTTTTCTAGGTGATATCACTGGTCCGTTTGATCGTTTACCAACTCGCTGGGATGAATTAAAGCAAACTGTGTCAATTGTCGTCGATATTGCAAGTGTTTTAGATCCTGATGGTGTTGATATTTATTTTTTGAATCGTGAACCAATGTTTCATGTTAAACATTCATCTGAACTAATTCCAACATTTGCTGTACCTCCTCAAGGTCCAACTCCAAGTATATATAATATTTTATATTTTTATTTATAATATGACATAGAATTCTGTTTTCTTATGTTTAGTTGTATCCGTATTGAGACAAGTTTTGGCTGATAAAAAAGCCGAAGTACAAGAGAGAAAACTGTTAATTTTACTTGCAACTGATGGCGTTCCAACAGATATGGATGGTAAACGAGATACACGTTCATTGGAACAACTACTCAGATATGGACGAAATCCAATTAATCGTATCCCAGTGACGTTTATAGCATGTACAGATGATGACGAATGCATTGGTAAACATAAAACAAAAAAGTTAAATATTGTTCAGTATAGTATAATTTTCCTGTCCTTTATTTTTAAGGTTATTTGAATAAATGGGATAAAAACATCGAGTAAGTTTGATCTCTTTTTATTTTCTCAATATAGTCAAAGAATAAAATTTATTTCTTTGTTTAGATATGTCGATGTTGTTGATGATTATCGAAATGAAAAAAAAGAGATACAAAATGTTCAAGGACGAGATTTTCCGTTTAGTTTTGGTGATTATGTCGTTAAAATTCTAATGGGTTCTGTAGATCCATGGTTTGATGATTTGGATGAGAAAAAGGTAAATGCTAATGGTCCTGGACGATACCAATCAAATCAAACAAATTCCACATCTAATGACTGCTGCAATGTTTTATGACAACTACTGCCTGGCTTCATATGTGTACTGTTTATCATCTATTTTATCTTGTATCATTTTGAGATATTGTCCGGTATTTCTGATGTTAATAGATAAGACTTACAAAAGCTTTAATAACACTTCATATGCTATCAGTCGTTTTTAGAAGTAATCAGAAGTTATATGAAGCTAGATATGTGTATTGGTTTTAATTTCAATTTTTTCAATAGTTTTCTAGATCAAAACCTATATGAAGATAATTTTGAATGAGAAAAAAGAGAATCTCTTTTGCTTGTAAAAATAGTTCTCATATAAAAAAATATGACAAAGTTTCTCTTTCTCAAATAGTAAGTAGCAACTAGGAGTGGTATATCACACACCATGCTTCTACTATTTAAGTAATCTAATAATTGCTTTTTCTTTTTTCACACAATATGTTAATAATTTGTATTATATACAACTAGTTATTCTTTCTTCTATTTAACTCGTATGTTTTCAATCTATCGCTGTTTGCACATATACGCCTTTTTCTAAAAGATAAAAAATGTTCCTTTATTTATGTGCTCAAGTGATAATCTGCATAATAATAATTATTCTTTTGTTCATTCATGCAAACTATTTTTATTCTTTAATATAAACATACAAATCTTATTGCAGATACTTTTTCTTTTTTTTATAAACATATTGTGTAAGAATGATATGCCTTTATTTTCAAGTATGCATTTGTTGTAATGAGTTATTTTTACTATATTAAATAGTGACAAACGTTTTTCAAATTTTAGTACATTTGACTCTCAGATGAACATTGTTTGATACAATAAATATGGAAGATGTAACTACCTTTGAGTTGAACAAAACTGCTGATAATTAAAAAGAATGTCTAGTCAACTGCTCAAAAATTATTTTTTACTCTATTCTTTCTGTATATATGGAGGTTGAGAACATTCATTGATGAACTTTAGCTCAGAAATTCAAATAATGACTTTTCAAGAAAAAAGTTCACGAATTATAGAAATTCACTAGAATAATGTGAAGAGGAAGTTTAAGTGTAAAATAACTTGCGTGGATACTGATGAAATCTATTGAATTTGTATTCATCATACTTTATTCTATATTACATAGCAGTTAAACATTTTAATTCCTCTCTTCACACGTGAAAAATCTACGAATTTATTCTGATTTTTATTTTTTTTGTGATGATATTAAAACTCTGTAGTGCAACATCCTTTTAACAGATGTTTACTCAAACTTTGTTATCATATTTAGTTGAAATTTTTCATGTTTTCACTTTTCTGAAGTATATCTCCGTCATTTAAATATGATTTCATATTAAAAACTAATCATTAGATAATCTGAAAAATTTTCTCAGAAAAAATTCATAATATCACTGACATCAGCATAGATGTTTAAAACTCATTCATGTTGTGACGAGAAGGACACTGAAATTGAGTGAAAAATATACTCTTCTTGTTCTTTCTTTCCTTCTTTATTTATTTACGTAATTAACACTCAAAGTTCGACTTTTTCATAATGACACCATTGTATATTTAATACAAATGTATTCCTATTCCTAATAAAACATTTTTTTGTCATTTTTTTCAAATATCATTTATTAGTAGAGAAAGAAAACAAAAGACAGAAACAAAAGAACATCTTAACGATATGAATTCATTTGTGCTAAATTTACAGTAGTGTTGTTGTGGAATAGGCGGACTTTAAGTAAATAAATATATAAATAAAAGAAAGAGTATACTTTTGACTCAGTTTCAGTATCCTTCTTATAAACATGAATGAATTTTATATATCTATGCTAATAATATAAACTAGTCACAACCCAACTTCATATAAAATTTATGTATTATATAGAAGTTCGTGCCGTCTTTATGTGTTCATCATTATTGTCCAAAAGTAAGATTGATGTTTTTTTGTTTTGCAGTTTTAGATTATTTGAATGTATTATTTTTATTTTATCTTTGTAACTGTTACGTTTTATAAACGACGAGCAGCGACAAAGAATGTTTAAAGTGAAAAAAGTCAAAAGAAAAGTGATCTTTTAAAAATTAATCTACGTTGTTTTCTGTTAAAAATCTAGTTGATAATCTTTGATATCTGATAAAATAAATAAATGTATTCAACTAACCAGTATCCCCCATCAAATCCTCCATCCTATGAGGATATCATTCCTGCTCAACAACAACATGGTGGTTTTAATTCAGTGGGACACCAGTATCCCAATTATCAACCAACAACGGTAGATGATCGAATGTCAAAATTTCAAGATATTGTCAATAGATATGAAATTAATCGAGAATTTGCCACAAGATTAAGAAATTTAGAAGGTTATGAAGTCGTTTTTATTGTGGATGATTCTGGATCAATGAATACGCCATTGGGTGAGAATCTAGTTTAAGATTTCAAGAAGCCTTTTCAGTTTCTGGGTTAACTCTGGAAAAGAACTCGAGTATGCACATATTTAGCCATTTATATTAAGTGGGCAGATGATCTTTACCCTATCATCATTTTAGGTGATATTACAAGCCCGTTTGATCGAAAACCATCAAGATGGGACGAACTAAAGCAAACTGTGTCAATTGTCGTTGATATTGCAAGCGTCCTCGATCCAGATGGTGTTGACATATACTTTTTGAATCGCGAACCGCAATTTCATGTAAAACATTCATCAGAATTAGTTCCTACTTTCGCCGTACCACCAGCAGGTCTAACACCTATTGTTCCCGTTTTACGAAAAGTGTTATATGATAAACAAGCTGAGATTCAAGAACGAAAACTATTAATTCTACTCGCCACTGATGGTGCTCCGACAGACGAATCAGGACATCAAGATGTCAAAATGCTTGAACACGTACTTAGACATGAAAGAAATCCCATTAATCGGATACCAGTAACATTCATTGCATGTACAGACGATGATGATTGCATAGGTAATTTTACTGAATTTATTGCATACAAGGGTATACACATACAAAAATCAACTGGAGATATATATTAGAACGATAGATCTAAAGTTTGTTCATCTTTTCGTTTTTATGCACACTAACGCATCGCGTTGTAATCGATATGTGAACGAATTTATTTTTATAAGTTTCTATTGAGAGGTGTCTACCGTATTGAACTCTTATTTGTTCAGATTGATAGATCAAATTAGTCTGCATCAGATATTAGAACTACAAGTTGTCATCATACTGTCTTTGTTCTTCATGTAGGATATTTGAATAAATGGGATAAAAATATACCGTAAGTATTTCTCTTTAAGAAAATAATAGCAAATATTAGACCATATTTACTGCTATTTTAGGTATGTTGATGTTATTGACGATTATAAAAATGAGAGACAAGAGATACACAATACTCAAGGACGAAATTTTCCATTTAGTTTTGGTGATTATGTCGTTAAAATATTGATGGGTACGTTGCTTAATAAATCACAATAAGTCGTATGTCAACGCTGTTTTTCTATTTGAAGGTTCTGTGGATTCATGGTTTGATGGATTAGATGAACGAAGAGTGAATATTAGTGGACCAGTGACAAGTGATCAACATGGGAAAAAATCGAAAAAGAAAGGTTGTACTATAATATAAATAAAAAATTATTCTCTCATTCAATAATCATTTTTTGTGCAATTGTTTTATTTTTTGCGACTGCGATATTTTGAGATTTCTTTTATTGTTTCGTGTGACAATCAAACAAAACAACTGCATAATGCTTTGATATATTTTTTTCGTTACTTTTTTATATGAATACCAAAGAAATACCTTACCTGCTTTATGTTTGTTTGTTTGTATGGTCTAAAATATTTTTCGTTGTTTATTGCTTTTATTCTGTAAAAATAGTAAAATATTGTAGACTTTGTTCAGTGCTGATACTACGAATTTAGGATAGAGACCTTCAATTATTCTATAGATACTTTTTTGTCTGCTTTACATACTAAACACATAGTTCATTCCACTGCTTTCCGTTAGAAATATGAGTTCAGAAAATAAATTTTGGACTTTTACAATTTTGTGTAAAATGAATCAACATTTTGAAACGGGGGTATAAACGATCAAATACGACGCTTTTGACGAACACATACGTCACAGCCGCCTTATTACGGGTGCAGTATACGCCTAATTACTGAAAAGCGATCATCTTCGAAGAAAATACACCTTTAAGTTACGATGTTATAAGAACGGTTATAGTTATTGGGCTGATCTTAAGAAAATGAAAGTATTTCATAAATGATTTTCGGTTTTTTCAAAAATGTTTTTCAAGAAATGAATTACTGTTTACGGTTTCATTTTCGCTTACTGAAGAGAGATATCTACATTCTTCTTTCATAAATTTAGTGCTCGCCGTTTTGAAAAAATACAGGTAGAAATACGAGTTATTCGTAATTTAATAAAAGTATGTTTCATTTATCTTTTGTTTTTGATGGGTTTACTCTTGACATTTTTCTTTGTTGAAGAATACAACGAAGGAAAACGTATTTTAAAAATATATTATTTAGTACATCTGATCCATGATATTTTCACTCAATCGGACAATTCAATTTGAAACTGTTAAACAAAATGGGTTTATATCATAAGTGGCGGAGCCAATAGGCTTGAGCCTTCTCAGATTTCGAAACGCTCCGTCCCTCTTTGTTTTATATATTTAACTCTAAATAGAAAGGAAACTCTTGAAAGTAAAACGAGACACCTTTTGAAATTTTTGTCGTATGTTTGGTAGTTTTCAGTCACCTTTGATTGAAAACGCCTGCTATTGAGCATAATAGTAGGTCGAACATTTCTCTACATGTTAATTACAAAAACCTTATGAAAATGTCCGGTTGTTCATGAACCAGATCTATACTTAATACTTCAATAGGTCTCCATATTGGGTCTGAACAAAACACATGTCAAATAATTTGGTATTATCTTGGCTAGTTGTAAATTTAATTTAGAAGATATTCAAATTCATATCTCATGTATTATTATAAAGCCAATATAAAACCTTATATACTGGAATATTGAGTTGACTTTCACACATGCGATATGTGTTTAGCATTCTGCACAACTTTCTCATTGAGAAACTATCAAAATTGATTTCTAAGAGACGATAGAGGTTAGCCTCTGTGAATCTCATGCATTTCAACGGAACGTCTCTATTTACCCCAATGCATAAAAATGGACAAAAGAAAATACTGAGTGTAGCTGATTGTGTGTTAATCAGCTTAACTAGTCTATATAATGATGAACTCTGAATCATATGTTAGAGAACCGTGCTACAATGAGAGATATTTTTTAACTGAGAGTTAATTACTAGTGAAATGTACATTAAAACTGCATGTATTTGAATGAACTGTCTTTTTTTACCGCAAGCGTACAAATGAAACTTCTGAAAATTAAAATTTTATTGTTCTATAATGAAGTTAACAATAACAGAGATACATGAATAATACTCATTAATTCAAAAAAAATCATAAAAAAACAAAAGAAAGACACATTTTGTTCACGGTATAATCGCTCACAATCAATTCGATATACTTGTATAAAACAACAACTAATAATTACACAATTAGTAACGGTTGACTGTAAAGTTTATACACAAAAATGGATAGAAAGAACAAAGATTTACAAAATGCATATTGTGTCTTATGCAGATTCTCAAATGCCAACCAATCAATATATGTGTGTTGAGCTTTCAGCACAAGACGATTCGGTAACCTACTATCTTTTCTGAAGCCACAGGACTTATACCACCATTTAAAGGAATGGACACAACAGAGGACCCCCTACGGCAGAAGCCCTTCTGTTACAAGACCTCTCTTGAACTCATAACGCAAATACCACGTTATAAGACTCCCTTTTTTTATCGATTTTTTACCTAAAATATGATAATTTTGGGGTTCAATCAAACATAATTTTTGTGTTCGTCTTTTTGCTCAGCTGTTGGAGTAAATACACAGCTGCTAGAATGGTAAAAAAATAAAAATAAACATCAGTTGAATCAATAACTTTGTACACAGTGTGAACTCTGGATCAAGCGATTTCGGCTCAAAATCGGCTCTTTTTAGAGATGCTTTAGAAGATCCCCTTCAGAGTTATGAGCACTAGAACGCGATATAAGACCCGGGTCCTCTGTTGTGTTCATCCCTTTACATGGAGTATTTGCAATCAAAAAGGCAGTCTGATAGGAAAGTGCTTCGTTTGATTCATCGAGATGATTTGAAAATTTTATCCAATAATTATATATATAATCTTTTAATGAGTATTCTCTACTCAAAATTAAGATTGTTATATCATCAAAATTATTTAATTTATACACAATTCTTAAACCACTACAATACACATGTTCTATTTGTTCTTGTTGTTTATCTGTAAAATAGAACTATGTAGTGAATAGCCATATGAAATATAGTAGCGCATGAGCTAGAAATAGTTTTCTCTTTAATTGGATTTCATTTTTTGAAATTCTATAAAACATTATTCCCAGTGTATTATAAATTTATCTTATCATTTTTATTCTTTCGTTTATGAAGTTACCCCATCCTATTTTTGTACTGATATTAATACCAAGATATTTAAATGTTTTAACATATTTGATTTTCTTTCGTCTATACTCTAATTTAGGATAAGATGGTGATACCACTCTATGTAATAAAAGAGCGTTTGTTTTAGAAACATTACTGGAAGAATATTACCATCAGCAAATTTTTCCAATGATTTGAGTACTATTTCAACTCTAGTTTAATTCTTTCAGATTAGCGATAAGCGCGGGAAACCACATTTTGTAGAAAGTTGATAAAAAATTCACAAATAGTACCAAAAACAGGTCGATTTGATGTATCAAGTCTTAGTACTTCACAAAGAGATAAAGGCATATCTATGTTTTTAATCATACGGATTCCGTATTACGGAACGGTTTTTGAGTTTTTAGACGAAACCTATCATTTCCCAAAGAGATATAATGCGAGGTTGAAAATGTCTATCCGGAGTGAAACCTGATTGTTCGTTCACATAAATATTGTTTTCCGCACCCAATTTCAATATCCTCTGATGTATAATCCTTTCATACCATTTTCCTAAATTCGGTAACAGAGAAATCGAACGTAATCGATTTTCCTCCGGGTAAAGTCTTTATTACTTCGTTAATTGTTATTTTTTCTAATGGCATATTAGGTGTATATACTATTTGCCTATAAGTTTCTATTGACTCTACATGCTTTTTATTACTATTATCGTATTCTGGTTCTTTATAGTGTTCTTCATAAAAGTCAGCTAACATATTAACTAATTCTTTTTCACTTTTACGCTTGTCTCCACTCGCTCTGTCCCTTAACTTTAGGAACTTATATATTCGAACGACTTTTGAATCCAAAACAACGCTCATGCCTCAGTTGACATTCGCTAGAGGCCTATCTAAAATATCTCGTGAATTTTTCTCTGATCCGATGTGTAAGGTTAGTAATCTAATGTAAATGTAAAACGTTTTCTCGAGGTCCTCCAAAGATCCCTAAAGGTCTAAAAATATATATCTGAATTCAAGGGATTGGATAGGTTTTGTTTTCTTTTTCTTAGTATGAGCTTGAGCTCTAAGCAGAGTCGCAAATAACAGGAGGGTGTGGGAGGGTGCGCACCCACCAAATAACTGAAAAAGATGTTGTTAGTTTATCCATTATTCGTGCACATAATTCTTTTCATCAATTTCGCACTACCTCAAACAGAAATTTTGTTTTACACCCCCCCTAATGTTCTGCTCCTATTTACGGCCCTGGTTCCAAGTCATTAGCGAGATCCCTTTGATTTTTCTTAATATGCACATTGCTTTTTTAAAATATTAAAAAATAGGTTAGAAATTTTTAATCTAACACTAAATTACAATTTCGCCAGTACATAATTCGACCATGGAAATATGTATATTAAAATACAGTTTAGAATAACTAGGACAATACAACAGGAATAATAGCTGCTTTACAAACAGTGAAAAACCCTAAAAGTTTCGAAACCAGGATGTAATGAATATAGCCTTAACTGCAGCGTAAACATGAATGGTATTTCCAATCAGCTGCTATTTCTCCTGCAGGACAAGGATAGGTATGAATATTATATAGGCAGTAGTAACCGCGTGAACAGGAATAAAATTGATATTGATATAAATGGTAATCAGATGAACATAATCAGATGGGCACCCAGTCAAAAAAAAGGAGTGCTCCGAAGCGCTCTTTTTTTGAGGAGTATTCTGGACTACTCCAGAAAAAGAATACTCTAGAGTGCTCTTAGTGGCTTTTTTCAAAAGGAGTGCTCCGAAAATGGAGTACACCTTCATACTCCTACTTCTGACCTTTTTTTGACTGGGGCATACTAGAGTCGACAATGACACAAAAATACTTGGGAATAATAGAGTTATTGTGAGTTTATTCATTTTTACCTTAACAATTTCATGCTAATGAAATGGCAGAGTGGCCTTTTCTAGCATCTGCCACAACATTTCGCAACTACGAGTTATACCGCCATCTATCATTGGCTTTATCTGTTGATCCGGCAATCGATTTCGTATGGCCCTTACTTCCAGTAAAGGGATCACATATTCATTTAATGGATCATTAAACATGTTTTAC